GAGAACAATCAACGAGTACTGTATATTTCTTCGAAGGTGTATTAATTTATTTTTCTTTTCTTTGTAACACAATTTAAATGGATTTAATATAAATATAATGATTAGTTACTATAAATAAATAAATATAATGAATGATAGTATTTTCTTTTTCTGCTAATCAACAATTCTACTCGTATTCGAAGGGAGGAAAAAGCTTTATTGTTTATATATGCTTCAAAGAGTGAAAGAAGGATGATAATGTATAAAGATTTTTAGGATATTCATATGTGAGTATACTCTGACTCCCACGTTAGAAAAAGTTAAGAGAAAAAAATAGACAACTTAAATAAGAGTCGCAGTTAATATCTAATAAGTTGAGTTTTTGTGTTAATTCTCATCTTCACATTTATTTAAGGCCTATTAACCCTCAAATGGGTCAACACCTAATAGGGTTACTCTTTGGATTAAATCGCCTTTGTTTAAGGCTGATTACCTCTTAATTAGTCCCATTGATTTTATCTGATTAGAGGGACAATATCTGAAATGGTCAAGTCCTACGTTTTCAGCAAAAGCGGTTGTCGGGCCATCGGATCAGTTAGTTTCTAAGTGGAACGAACCAAACTTTTGCATTTTGTACCGAGTACGAAGTTCCTATAAAGTTCAACCCCCCTCTCCAATAAAAAATAGGAACATGAATAGATTCATTCATCCTATTTTAAGTACATTTTTCCTAGATATTCTAGGATCCAATCAGGGGCAAGCTCAAAGGATTTGGTGCATGTTTCCTAGTTGGCACTTACGAGGTACCAAATCCTATGTGGATTTTTCCATTGCTATATAATTGGCCCGACATGGGCATTCTAGCTGTCTTGAAGTGTTAATTGAACAATGTAGGAAAGGGAAGTCGGCAAAACAGATCTGTACTTTGGGAAAAGGATTGGCTCTGAGGGCTGGGCACAGGGGTCCTAGCCCTGAACCCGTTGGATGTCGGCAGATTGCTCGAGCTGCACCTGTGACGAAAAGGGTCAATAATCATGGGTTATAGGTCATAAAAGATAGCTCATAAAAGATGTTAAGCTTTTTTTGAGGGAAAATTGCTTCTAGCTCCCAAAATTATTACAATTATTCCGCCCACACCCCTTAAGACTTTTTCAACAATCCCAAAGCCCCCACAACAGTATCCAATATTCATTTAGCCCCCAAAACCCTTCCCCACGTGACCTGATGCTTAAAAACAAAAATCTTTCCCCAAAATGCCCTCATGCAACCGGTCACTCTATCAAGTGGTTTTGGAAGGAAGAAAACCCTCATTTCCCTCCAAATTCTAATCATTTCCTTTCCTCCCCCAGAGTAAATCCATCTCCTCTCCCTTTGCTTACCCTAACTGCTCTCTCCTGGCCACTTAATTCTCCTCAATAAATCCTCTTTTATTCTTCAACTATTTTTCCTTAAAATAACTAATGCATCCCTTCTTTGCATGGTTACAAACACAAAAAGTAACGAAGAGGATGAGGGTGTCTTCGTAGTTATCAACGAGTCTACAGAAATCATTAGCTTGAAATATCAAGTGTCCCAAAGGCTTAAACTACCATTGGAATCTCTTTCACTGAAATTCATATCCGAAAGAGAAAAGAAGTTCTGTTTTTCAATTGATAATGACGACGACTTGAGGTTGATGTTCGAGTATTGTCGTCGTAATGGATTTATAATTATAAACTTGTATGCTACCTCCGCTGGGGAATCCTCAACTTCTCTGAACAACCAAACTTCTCTAGAAAATATGTAAGCATTTAACTTTGAATTTCCGTATGAGTTCGTTGATAGGTTATGAGTTGGTTGTTAACCTTATGCATTGGTTGCAGAGGTTATGAGTTGGTTGTCAAGGTTATTAGTTGGTTGTTAAGGTTATGAGTTGGTTGTCAACCTTTATGAGATAGTTTTAAGTTGGTTGCTAAGGTTATGAGTTCGCTATTAAGTTTACGAGTTGGTTGTTAAGGTTATGAGTTTGTTGTTGATGTTACGAGTTTGTTGCTAATTAAGGTTATGAGTTTGTTGTTAAGGTTACGATGTTCGCTTCGGAAATCACTTTCATTGCTTTCGAATCCATTACAACTTCAGGCGTTACAACGATTCAAAATAAAGAAAATTTAATCTTTTTATAAGTCTTCTCTTACAATGAAAATAAAACAGATGACTTCCTACGAACACACGCAGAGAGATCGTTTTATCGGTCTTCTGCTTACGCAAGATCTTACTGGTGCCGGGATTTATCCTTGGACCACCAAATGATCAGATTCGAATAAAGATTTCGTTGCCTCGCAAAGGAAACAAGAAATTGAAGTGACTATCTCGACAACAGTGAGATAATCACTCTTTTTGAGAATCACAACTAGGTGCGATCTCAAGGGAAATGGATGAGCGGGATGCAGATTTCTCGAACTCTTCCTCTCTTTATGCTGAAGAATTCACCAAGATCTCCTCCTCTCTGAAATTCTTGCTCCTCACTCTTTAATCTGACAGGACTTTGTCGAGACTCGAGAATTCTAGATCTGTGTGAATGAATGACCTAGGGCTGTATTTATAGGCTTCAGAAGCTTTGTTTTCAGATAAGAACGACCGATTTGGTCTCATCCTCAGTTGTAACCACTTAACCACGTTCTAAGATAGCTTCAAATCAGTTGAAAAGGCTTTAGGCAGAAGAAATCCTAAATCTTATCGAAAAATTGGTTTCCGGGCGGTTAACAGGCGAAAAACAGCATTTTTTGGTGTGAGACACCAATGGTATCTCGGTCATAGGCTGAGATATGAATGGTGTCGCTTTCTTATTTTCCCTCTAACTCTCTCATCTAACCATGAAATAAAGTGATTCAAGATGAGTTGGAAATATGACGAAGAGATCTATAACTTTTGTCTTTTGAGCTTCTTCATATTCGAATCATATCATGGCCAAAATGTGTGAGATATCATTGGTGTTCTGCAGGTGTAAAATAGCCTGAACTGTCTCGGTTGTTTTGGATCTAACTTTCACGTACGATCTCGGAATAAGGTGATCCAAGATGAATTGAAAAGGTAACTAAAAGATATACAACTTTTGTCTTTCTAGATTCTTTAGATTTGAAGCAAATCATGATCAAAATAGCTCTATCAGGCGCGAGACACCGTTAGTGTCTCGGCCATGGGCTGAGATACGACTGACATCTCTCTGTTGTTTTACCTTTAACTCTCTCATAAGACCTCGGAATAAAGTGATTCATGATGTGTTGGAAAGCTGATGAAGAAACCTATAACTTTTGTCCTTTGAGTTTCTTCAGATTCAATGTGAATCATGGCCGACATGTGCGAGACACCATTGGTGTCTCGCAGATGTAAAACAGCCTGGACCGTCCCGGTTGTTTTGGCTCTAACGTTCTCGTCCAATCTCGGAATCAGATGATCTAAGATGCATTAGAAACCTAGAGAGGAGATCTAAAACCTTCTATATGTGAAATACCCATGTAGTGAGTGAGACACGAGTGGTGCTTCATCCTTTGTGGGTGAAACACAACTCCTGGTTGAGTCGTTTCTTCCTTATTTTGCTGTCCCATTGACTCGTATGTTTCGCCAACTTGCTTCTTGCGCTTGCTAGCTTCCCTATGACATTAGATAATCCTCCTTAATTTGGATAATAATATTTATCATTTTTTCTCTATCTCGAGCTGCATGCGGGAACCTATAGATAATTTTTAACGCCTACATACAAGTTAGTTGTTAAGGTTATGCGTTGGTTGTTAAGGTTAGAACTTGGTTGTTAATGTTATGATTTGGTTGTTAACCTTAGTAGATATTTATGAGTTTTTGTTAACCTTATGAGCTGGTTGCTAAGGTTATAGTTGGCTGTTAAGTATTAATATTTTTTCCACTTTTACAGGACTATCCCGACAGAAAATTCGGGATGCACAACTACTACGCTCACCCAAACATGTAATAATGAGCGTATTCCTAATGACAATCCTACTGGCGACTCGATCATGATGATGGAAGACATGATTAACAAACAAACCAAGATCCCAGCTGAGTGGCACACAGTCATACGTGAAATTAGTCAGAAATTTGATAGTGATGCTGAAGTTAGATTCGCACTTCATTACTACTCAATTGCGAAAAGGTTCGAGTATGATTTTTACCATAATGAACAAAGACGTATAAGAGTCTATTGCCGATTCAGGGACATGCTGGATTTTCCTTGGATGTTATTTGCTTTCCCACTCAGAAATTCCCTAATTATGTCTATAAAGAATTTATGTTCTACCCACACTTGCGGTCAACACGGAGCTAATACTGGCAACTCAAGGGAATCAAGAAAGTTCATTG